CCCCCCAAGTCTTTTCAAATGAATAATGTGATGTAGGTTTTTAGATACTGGTTTTTTTTTCTTTTCCTTTTAGCAGGTTGGAAGGGAATTTTGAAAATCCTCCCTGTGATGCTTTGACAGTTATATAGTGATTTAGTTACTTCTTTGCAGATTTTGGAAGGAATTGTTCAATGCAAAAAGATCTCTTGATGATCCATTATATGATGATAGGAGGCAAAGATAATTACATTAACAGTCTGGTAAGAAAGCAAGGCATAAGTCAGGTAAGGTATATAGAAAAGTGGGTGAGTTTTTGCAAGGATCAACACCAAGGGTAAGGTAGATGTATGTATAAAGAAAGAAATGGTCTGTGCAGAGGTGTGTTGCATGGGTTACTAGTGGCAAGTGATTTCTCTTGCTGCAATCCAAAGGTTTGAGTGTACCATGTGGAGCGCTTTACAAACTAATGTTAAGTGTGTCGAGATGTGTTATTTTTCTCTTGCAGATGGTTGATACAATGATCTTTGGAAAGGACAATTTGTTTTATATGTAAGTTTCTGAATTAAGCTATATTTTATTTTGAATTATGATGAACTATATTTTCCGCTGCATCTGAATAAAGCTGCTTATTTTCTTCTCTGCTATAAAGAGTAAAGGAATATTCCTTTTGCGCAATCCTACTGCGACCCTGATGTCATTTTATCTTCAAGGACACTGCAGTTGGACTTCAAGTTTTCTGCTATAGAGGGCTGGATTGTTTTATGACACTAAACACAACAAGAAATAATATTTTTTACATTGCGTTGTCTTCTGAGAGGACAAGTGCAAAACATCCCCAGTTTGTATTGATTCCTAAAGACCGACTGTTTGTTGTGTTTCTGGCATTCTATTTCTTTTTCTATTTCTTTTAGCAGGTTCAAAGTGGTGTTTTAGAGATATGTTGGACCTTCATTTTTGGAAATGGCTAGAATATTTTCATTTTTTTTATTTACTGAGAGAGAAAATCAACAACTTGTAAGGAAAAAAATATAATTAACGGCAAGTCAAAATAATATGATTCTAGAGAGATGCGCGACGACAACACAGGGATGGAAGTAGATACTTAAGAGGTAGGTCTTTATGGAAAAGCAAAGAGGTTCTTGAACTTGTTTCCTTGCTGTTCAAACCAATCACTGAAAACACCAATGATGTTTTAATATGGTGCAATCTAAGAACACAAAAGTGTAACTCTTTGATTATAAGCAAGATAAACTGATGTGAGATGAGTTAGTAAGGAAGGAATTCATCCCTTTGAGTAATTAAACCATTGGTGCCTTTACTAATTTTGTGCATCCTTTACTTACAGCACAATTTGTTATGCAAGGAAGAAAACAGCCCTGGAAACACCCTGAATCCAAAGGGACGTAGTCTTCTTTCAAAGGAAGGAAAATGAGTGATGTTTATAAGGTTGATCAGGAGATCAAAAATGGGGAGGATTTTTATGAAGGGGTAAATAATGAAGAAATTATCTGGACCTTCAGGCACGAGTGCTAATCTTTCTTCAGGAAATTAGTTCATTCCCTATCTGAAAGGAGGAGGAATAGAGGGGGTGCTGTGGTTTTTAGCTTTTGCAAGAGGGATGGTGTGGAGGGGGCGCTTGTGAATGGCTCTTGCTCATGGGATGCCCAGTGCTAGTAGTGCTGACCGCCACTTTTGGGGTCGGGAAGGAATTTTCCTCCAGGGCAAATTGGCCTGAGACCCTGGAGGTTTTTCGCCTTCCCTTGGGCATTGAGCAGGAGTCACCAGCCATGTTAGATGGCACATTCAGGTCAATTAAAGCAGCATCTTAAAATAAATATATTAATTAAAATGAATTCTTGTTTCCTTTGCTTTTTCTCATTGTCATTGCATCAATTTTGCCCCCGGTGGCGCAGTGGGTTAAACCCCTGTTCTGGCAGGACGGAAGACCAACAGGGAAAGGTGGATGAGCTCCCTCTATCAGCTCCAGCTCCCCATGCTCCCCATGCAGGGACATGAGAGAAGCCTTCCACAAGGATGATAAAACATCAAATCATCCGGGCATCCCCTGGGCAACGTCCTTGCAGACAGCCAATTCTCTCACACCAGAAGTGACTTGCAGTTTCTCAGGTCGCTCCTGACACGACAATAATAATAATAATTTCCAGATCCTCTTAATGCAGTGACTATGTATATAAAACACCATACTATTATTTGAATAGTATGTCTTGATTCTGTCATCACTGCAGTTTTTAGCTTTATATCTAGGGCCTCTGTTTTGGTGAAATCAATTCAAATTCTATATATATATATATATATATATATCTGATGGGAAAGGGGCTATAATGCTGTCGACATTGAGATTAAAATCATAGCCAAAGAAGCTTGACTAAAATCGGTGCTATATTTTTGAAGTCAGGCATGTGCAAATGGACATCAACCCATCTTTTATCTCAGACGATAAAATAAAATCACAGGATGTCTTAAAGCTACACCTGCTGATGGACTTTATAAGCTAGCTGGCACCCCCCCCCCCCCGACGTGCGATGGGAAATTGTGACCAATTGCAAGAGAAATAAGGTTGAACTCTGTGAAAGCCACCCACTGTTTGGCTTTCAGCTTCCTCCCAGCAGACTTCAATCAAGGAAAAGTTTCATGAGAACCACCACTCCTCTAAATGTCCCTCCTGCAACAGCAGGAATATCCACATGGGCAGCAAAATCAGACCATTCCAATGGACGCCCCCCCCCCCCCCATGAGGGTCTTCCTCCAGGGGCAAACCAAGAATGGGCAACTTGGAAGTCCCTGAACAGACTCAGAAGTGGAGTGGGCAGATCAAAAGACAACCTGGCAAAATGGCACTAGCTAGAAGAATCCTCCGCCTTGTACGACTGTGGAGCAGAACAAACTCAACATCTGTATGTTTGCCCACAATGCCCTGCTTCATGCACAGAGCTGTTTAAAGCTACAGACAATGCAGTTACTGTTGTCCGTTTTTGGTCTAAAACTTTTTAGCTGCTGGTGCTCCCTTTATGTTATCAGTTTTATACTTATTTATTTATGCAATGCTTTCGACACAAAATAAAAATTTCAGATGATTAGGTGAAATTTCCATTTCCCTCTCACTAAACCAAACTCCAAGAAGGTGAGAGAGGAATCTAGACTCTTGCTCTAACAATGCTACATTTTCCCCACTTCTGCAATTAAGTATCCAAGAATCGGTGGTGAAAGGACAGATCTTTGAATGGAAATCATCACAAGGGTAAATGGAGCCATGACAGCTCAGTGGGACTTTCCACTCCACCAACACTGCAACCAGGAGTTTGCTCCAAGACTTTAAAGAAGAACAGTTCTATAATGCAGCTATTAATATATTTGTTTGGCATAATTGAGATCCAATTTGCATGATGCCTGCATTTGTGTGCCTAGCAGACAAGGTGGGAGAATATGGCAAGCTTATTTGTCAGGTATAACGGTTAACAAATGATGAAGCAATTGATCACCAAATAAATACATAAGTACATTTAGGGTCTTTTTCCTGATATGGGACTCAACTGTGTTTAGCTGTACCCAAGTCATGACTTATGCAGCCTTGAGATTGAGATTATACATACCCAAGTAATGACTTATGCAGCCCATCTTGAGGGAGAGGAAGTGGTCTGAGATCCTGGAGGTTTTTTGCCATCATTGAGGCACTGAGCAAGACACAGGCGGGGTGTGGAGAACCTGTTGCTCCATGCCCCACATCACCTGATTTACAGCGAGCTTCATCCCACAGGGGGAAAGCGTCCGCCACCCAGGCTTCCCCCCATTGCTTCAAAGCTTGCTCTTCCTTTTCACCATGGTTAGAAAGTAGTTCTGTGACATGTACTGGGCTCCATGACAAAAAGGGAGAGCAAGAGGTGTATGATGGGCAAATTGCCATATCCTATGTGGTCATATATGGCAGTGTAGATTCAGCCTGAGCTGCAGACGAACTGCAACATACATGGACAAGAGGAACAAAAGGGTCAGAGAAACATAGACTGTTATAATCTGGACCAAGGAACTTATAATGTCCAAYGAATAAAAGCTGACTMAAGGTGGTGTGTTTTCAGCTCAATGGGGCACTTTAAAGTGTTTAAATGTTTTCTCTTGCCAAAACTTGATTCATTTTGTGTACAAGCATATAAAATCTTCTATAGTAATGAAATCTTAACTGTGTGCTCTGACATTGAATATATGCCCTCTGATCCAGATAATGTTTGTTGTAATGCAATACTTTYTGAAATCAGGAGGGCAAATTAAATGTGATTACTYTAAATTTCAGTTCTTTCAATGCYATTAATTTCAGYTGGATCTCCCCTCAAGRTGARATGCATTCATTTCAGGTGGACAGTTTTGCTATGTAAATAAATGTAAATAAATATGTAAATAAAGAACGACTGAGCTAATTTTAATTTTATTTCTCATTTTGAATAGCACACAAATAGAAAATATAACTTTTCCYACAGGTAACTTTTAATGTGGACATTATAGAATTAGAAAATAATGTATTTACWTTCAGTTTAAATCCACAATGAACACATCTAATTGCATCAAATTACAATTTGCTCCAATCCCAAATTTAAAATGTTATCTTCTCCTTAGCCTGTCTGATAAGTCTGTCTCTGAACATTTCATCACGTGAAAAGAAACTCTGTTGATGAATAAGTACCAGTTCTTCCTCTGAATAGTTTCCAGTCCTGTGTTGTGTAGAAAGAGAAAACTATGGGCCCTTCTACACTGCCCTATAATCCAGATTATCAAATCAGATAATCCGCCTCATTTGCTTTGAACAGGATTATGCGAGGCTACAATGCCATATAATCCACTTCAAAGCAGAATTCTGGATTTTATATGGCAGTGTAGAAGGGACTCCAACTGTACAGAAAGCACATGGAGAAAATGCTTCAGAATCTGCTTTAATGTTTTGGATAGGTGCCACTTGGTGGAAACATAAACATAAGGGCTGATTTTCTTTATTTCATGCAAGACTCGCATACTTTGGACCCCAAAACTATTGTTGAATATCAGGCAGCTTCCAAAACTTTGAGGCTGTACTGGTTTCCTTCCTCTTGGAGCAATAGAGTCTCCAATAACTATCTTCTGGTTACAGTATTTACTTCTGATGTTTGACAACTAAGCCTAAAAATGCTTTCCATGGAAATCTAGGTTCTGTGATACATCATGCCTGAAACAGCCGAGGTGGGTCTTAAATTATGCAACATGTTGTAGATGGAGGGACACTTTCTCCATTGCAAGTTGGCATGGCTCCTATGGGAGAAAGAACAGACATCATTAGCATTAAAACTAAAACTTGATATTCCAGATTGTACAGATTGATATTCCAGGTACATCTTGTTATCAGGTAGACTAAGAACCTCATCACATTGAAGTCCTCAAACGGGGGAGCAGCGGAGGCATTTGTGGGGCAGTGGGGCAAAACCATTGTCCCACACCCTGCATTGCCCACTTCCTCATCCCACAGGGGAAACCATCACTGCCCAACTTCTCCCCGCACTTTCCTCAACTTACCTAATGAGAATATGGGAAACTTCCCAGGTTCTCAGGGCTCCATCTTTAGATGTTTCCAGGATGGAGCCCCACCAGAGGTAGCCCTGCATCATGTGATGGCCTCCGGCGAGATCTGTCCTGGAAGTGTCCTAGGATGGAACCCAAAGGTAATGTGATGAGGTCCTTACTGAAAGCCAGTTAACACTTTATTTAGTGTCTTCTGTCCTTTTCTTTAACCCCAGTATCATTTTCTTACCTTTTTTCTCATGGCTTCTGGCTAACACAATAAAAATATTGATGATTGTAAACCAGTAGGCTTAAGGAGGGGGGGGGGGATATATCCTACAATGTAGCCTTTTTGATATTTCTTTTCTAACCTTTACTATTAACTGTTTTCCCCTCTTTTTCCTTTTGCTTTTCTTCTAAAGCTTTCATGTTTGCATCGTACTCATCAGCAAGGGCTTTCCACTCTTTTCTGTTGTTCAGCAGTCGGTCGTACATTGGCTGAATTTGTGGATGGAAGCGTGAAAATTCCTAATGGAATAAAGATAAAGACAGTGGAAACGCAAAATCAAAAAACACTTAGCAAGCTCTCAAAGCCTATAAAGGGAAACAGGGAAGTTGTAGTGCAACATTGTACAAGATACTTTTCTTGGGTGGTTTCCATATAATGACTCTGACAAATTGGAAGCAGAAAATGTGCTGCCCAGAATTGGACACAGTAATCCAGGTGTGGTCTGACCAAGGCAGAATGGAGGGGTAACATGACTTCCCTGGATCTAGACGCTATGCTCCTATTTATGCAGGCAAACATCCCATTGGCTTTTTAAGCTGCCGCATCACATTACTGGGTCATGTTTACCTTCCTCCTCAGAAGGACTCCAAGGTCTTTTTCACATGTATTCTGTCGAGCCAGGTGTTCCCCGTTCTGTATCTTTGTATTTCATTTTTTCTGCTTAAGTAGAAAATCAAATACTTCGCTATTCATTACTATCACCTGATAGTACAACGATGAGGGTGCATTTTGAACTGTGACAGACATATTGGAGGATGATGATGATGACGACAACAACAACGACAATAATTTTATTTCTTACCCACCTCTTCTCATGGTAAACATTCTATAAAAATAGAAACATATTTATACAAGTTCTTATTAAAATACACTGGAAGAGATTGGCCTTCAAATATGTTTTATATTCCAACAGCTCATATAGGTGCTGGAGCTCTTCCAGCAGGTTGTTCCACAGTCTTGGGGCGGCTGATGAAAAGGTCATGTGGGTGAAGGTTGCCAGTCAGGTTCTGGCAGGCTAGAGTAGATGCTCCCTGGGGGACTTAAAAGAGTGGTTCTCAACATGTGGTTCCCCAGAAATCCTAACAGTTGGTAAACTGGCTGGGATTTCTGTGAGTTGTAGGTCAAAACACCTGGGGATCCACAGGATGAGAACTTCTGACCTAAGTGTTTGGGGTAGATTGTATGGTAGAAGGCAATCTTGTAGGTAATCTGGATCCAAACCATATAGAGCTTTAATGGTCAAAATCAACACCTTGTAGTTTAGCCAGAAACTAATTGGCAACCAGTGGAATGACTTTAGGATAGGAATTATATGCTCACTCCTAGATGTTCCGGTAAGCAATCTGGCTGCCATATTTTGAACTGCCTGGAGTTTCCAAATTTGGTACAAAGGTAGCCCAACATAAAGTGTATTGCAGAAGTCCAACCCTGAGGTTATCAGTGCATTCACTATCACCTTGAGGTCTTCTAAACCTAGGATGGGGCGCAGCTGGCATATCAGCCGAAGCTGGTAGTAAGCACTCCTGATCATTGAATCTACCTGGACTGACATCTGGAGAGATGGATCCAGGAGCGTCCCAAGCTGTAAACACAGTCTTTTGGGGGGCTGTAACCCCATCCAGAACTGGTTGACGCACCTCCACCTCCAGATTACGAACCTTAATTACATGAACCAATGGAGCTAACCAGACTTTTCTCCCCTTTTTGTCGTGCAATGGCAGAAAAGGTTGCAAGGCAATGCACATTCTGCCATCTGATGGGGGGAGGGAAAGGGTGCCAAAGCACCTTCTCCCACCACACTGTGTAATGAGAGGAGGAGAGAGGGCGCATTGGGCATCCGAAGCCACCCTCCCTTTCCCTTTCACCTGTGATTGCAGTGTGAGGAGGTCCCTAGTGGGTATCTTATCTATATAGTCATAGCAAATTTATACTACAAAGTTTTAGGTTCCACTCTGTATAATTCTGTAGTTTGAGGAGGGACTTAGAACTCCCTTGAAGTTCAGCAAAGAGTACCTCATCAAACTACAGATTTCAGGAGACTGAAGGATGATGCCATGACAAGTTTAGTGCTTTTATACCTCTAGAGTGCTACAGTAAGCGACACCCATGGTTTGGCTTCTTTCGCAGAGTAATACAGACTGACTTTTAAGGCCAAAAAAGGTGGGTAGCCCTCTGCCCACTCTCAGGTAGAAGTGGTTGCCTCAGGTGGCAAATGCTGGGAAGAAGGCAAAAGGATATTGGAGGAGAGCCGCACAGGAGTGAGCACAGCGTGGACCTCATCACTCTAGAGCAATTATCCATTTTAAAGCCTGTGGTTGCCTAGAGCGGAATTCTGGGATTTGTAGTTGAGTGGCATCCAGGATCTCTCTGGATAAGCAATTTAAAGACCCCTCCCTAAACTACAAGAAACATCCTTCATTTCTCTAACAGAAAGTTTTATGTCTGTTTTTAATTCTGCCTAGTTTTTTTTGCTGTAGGTAACCACAGGCTTTAAAATGGATAATTGCTCTAGTGTGATGAGGTCCCTGAGCTAGACTATTTTCTTCCAGTCATCCCATCACCAATGAGGGGAAAAGACTTAGCTCCCTGTCTAGCTGATCTTTGTATCTGGAATGAGTAGGCTGGTTAGCATCTGATACTGAGTGAAAGTTGTATCCTCCAATGCTTTATCCTGATGCACTTCCTTTCTTTATACCAGTGGTTCCCTACCTGTGGTCAGTGGACCACAAGTGGTCCAAAAGAAAGGAAAATATGGTCCACAGCCTCACCACTACTACACTGTTCCCTCAAAACCACGCAGAAAAAGGAGTGACTGGTCTTGCAAAACTCTCTTATGGTGCCCAGGTAACGGGGATGTTGGGAGGGAAGAGGCTGACTACCCATGAAAGATTACTACTACCACATAAACTATAGATTATTAAATATAGTTTTCTGGTGACTACTGGATGACATATGTTCTGTATCAGGTACTAAAGTTGATGTGGTCTATTCAAGGCAATTTTCTGAATCAGCACTCCAAATAACCAAACCAAATCTAAAGTTGACCAAAAACTGATTTGTAACCCTTTTGTTACTAATGTTGGAGAGTGGTCCCTGGTCAAGTGTTCCCTGGTCAAAAAATGTTGGGAAGCACTGCTTTATACTCTTTGTTGACTCATTTCACTATCAGACCTGAACTACAGAAACCAGCTTAAAATAGGGATAGCATTGCATTGAGATGAGAGAGGGATTTGACTAGGCTACTCCATGAAATTTTCTTGGTCTGAGTTTGTGTACACACACACACACACACACACACACACACA